CAAGAAATAAAACAAAATGCTGAAATTTCCTCGGTGTATTGCGAATACGGCAAAGCACACTAGGGCTATCTGCCTAAGGGGAGGGATGCCTTCGTGGAGGATTTTCTAAGGAAAACTGGCTCGTATATACGTTACACATGGGGAAAACCACGAAAACGCCCATGCAGCCAGCCCGTTCGCGGGATTCGAACCTCGGACCGAACTACCAGTGTTCAGCGATTTTATCGCTCGGCCGCTGGTGGGCCGAAATTTCCTCGGAGATATTCGTACAATATCGCAATATCTCACAGTAGTTATATTTAAACTACTAGAATATAAATAGAACTCATTTCAAAGCAGAGAGAAAGATAATCCGATCTCACCACGTATTCGCTACAGTCAATAACAGCACTAAGTAAAGAACTGAACCGAGATATTTTAATCCGGCTTTTATAAGAGTTTTAATCATGCACGAGAACATTCTTGTATTTTCTGGATAGCAAAAGAGTGCAATTACGAGATACCTATTTATTAAATGTGTGTGCTCCTGTAGATTTACTTTTTCGGCGTAGCTTTCTTTTAAAACTCGTCGCGCGCTGCATTGCACTGGGAAATTAAACAATTTTAACTACAATTCTACTAAAAGTAGCTAAATAAATACAAAACCCGTAACAATATCACTAATGACTTTTCCATATTCTCCATTGTATCATCTCTTAGAAAGCTAGCTGTAGATCTGCTTGTAAAATTGGCCGTAAGCAGAATAGTTTAAAGTTTAAGGGAACTCATACACCTTAAAGCCCATAAGATGTTGGAATAGGTGACTGTTGCAAGAATTGGGATAACTTATTTATTTTAAAAGCAATTACTACCAACGTTTTACAGCTGACTACATAATATAGCTGCTTTCTGAAATAGTAATCAAAAAGTTTGTGTTGCCACAAATATTTTTATAATTTAATCCCCTTTGTGACAACATTTTTCGTCATGTCTCCAACTTGCACAGTTTAAAACATTCTGTTTCATAATTTAATTCCATATTTAATATATAGCTTTTATAACATTTGGAAACTACTGTGAACCTAAAATTCTAAAAATTTCATGTTAAATTTTTATTTTATTTTGAGTTGAGTTTATAAAATGTATTTTATTAAAAAAATTTTTAATGTTTTCGTCCATAAAATTTCTCAATATTAAAATATTCATTAGATTGTTGGTTCAGTTAGAAAGTAGTGCCCATATAAAGAATTCCATCCAATTTCAAGTATGTACCATTAGCCATTTTTAAAATATCATGCGCGCAAGGTGGAAAAATGGCGAAATATTTTGTCACAAAGAGGATTAAATTACAAAAATATTTGTGGCAACACAAACTTTCTGGTTACTATTTTCCAAAGCAGCTATTATGTAGTCAGATGTAAAAAGTTGGAAGTAATAGCTTTTAAAATAAATAAAATATCCCAATTCTTGCAACAGTCGCATATTTGAAGATCATAAGGGGTTTAAGGTGTACGAGTCCCCTTAAAACTGCTTCAAAAATGCACAGTGTTAGAAGATTGACATTCCACTTTAAGAAGTTTTGAGAATTTAAACAGTTTAAACAAACTCTTCAACAAGATCGTTTTGAGACTTTATTCTTCGAGTACCTAAATTCCTGGTGGGAAAAGATGTACAGTTTTTCCTAAGCTTTTAACAGTTATCTTTAGTTAAAGCTACTCTCCTATCCCTCCTAATTTCAGCTTACAATTTCCTATCAGTATATGTTTTCAGAATCGCGGTTAATGCAAATGAGTAAGAGCGGTATTTAAGTCGAAATTCCACTGACTACGTTCGAGAGAGAGAGATTCTGACTAGCGCGCGTTTGCCTTGTGGCTACACTCTCTCTAAGCTATTACTACCCTCTGCCATATTTCAAGCCCTTGATAGCTTAGCCAGTCGAAGTGATATTTAAGGGCCAACTACTTAGAATTTTGATAGCTTTCGGTTATATATGTTTAGTTAAGATTTATTTCTTATTACTCTTGAGTGGCTCATGTGGAGGCTATGTTGTGCCCTCTGAGAAAGAAGCTGACTGTTCAACTCTTATTTTGAGAAATAAAGGGTAATTAGCCCTTTTTGAGTTTTACGTATCTGTTTCTGAACTAAAACGAATATTTGTTTACCTATTCACGAGGTCCCTATACACTTAGCTGTTAGATAAAGGTTGGAACCCCACAATTTTAAAGATTTTAAATAGGTTTAGATGGAGAATGATCGTGGTCATTGTAGGTCTTTTTTACAAAAAGCCTGAATGAAAATGGTAGATATGTTTTATGGTTTATATGATGGGAAGACAGAGATCATCAATAGGCAGTCACCTCAGACATTGCAGAGTCGTATTGAGAATTTCAAGCAGTCTCTTCTTACCTGCAGCTGTTTTGAATTCTGTTCTAGATAAAAACTTTCAAGTCTTTGAAAGACTGATGCAGTAAACCTGAAAGACACATTTTAATCTGGATAACTGTGTTCCAAGTGTTGGCTGGGTTGCTGACTTAGAATATTTCAAGGGAGACTCAAAAATTCTAAAAATAACTAAATTGAATTAACATGGATGGGTTAGAAACTAGTATCCTGAAATAGAAGATTCCTTTAAAGATAGTTTTATGCAGATGTTTATGAAGTTTTTGAAGATGAAAAGTTTTTATGAAGATGATGGCAGATGGCGTTTACAGGCACTGAAAAGGCTGAAGTTATTGCTGACAGCCTTGCTACACAATTCAGTCCAAATAACGACGTCTACTATAACCGTCCGGTTACACACGCGCATACACTCACGTGTTGAACATTTCCTAACACAACCCATCACGCCTGATCTCAGGCCGTCAGATCCAACTGATGTGCTGGAGTTCATCGATAAAATGAAGCTGAAGAAGGCCCCTGGCATAGATCAAATTTCGAATCGCATGATTAAAAACTTCTCCATTATGTATATTGTATGGATTACGGTCTTGATTAACCTTATGCTTAAAAGGTGTTACTTCCCTGACTGTTGGAAAATTGCCGCAGTCATTCCTATTCCAAAACCGGGTCAAAATTTAAATCTCCCCGTCAACTACAGGCCTTTTAGCCTCTTATCATCTCTCTCAAAAATATATGAATTTGTTTTATTTAAACGCCTCAATGAATTCTGCCGCGATCGAAATTTAATAATCCCGGAACAATTTGGCTTCCGGCCTGAACACTCCACGGTACACCAGTTACTCCGTGTAATGGAATTCATTCACGAAGGCTTTCGTAAACGAGAGAAAACTGGAATTGTCTATCTTGACACTGACAAGGCCTTTGATAGGACTTGGCATGACGGGCTTATTTACAAGTTCAAGTGGCTTGGTTTTTCGGCACAACTCATTAAAACTATCAACTCGTACTTGACGGGTAGATCCTTTCGGGTGCGAGTTCGCCATGAATACTCAACTTCGCGTCCAATCTGTGCTGGGGTTCCATAAGGAACCTCAGCTCAGACCTGAAATGTTCAACATCTACGTAAATGACATACCTAAGTCACCTAATGTCGATCTAGCTTTATATGCGGACGACACAGTCATCATGAACCAACATTTCAACACCTCCACGGTAATTTTTGCACTGCAGAATTATCTTCAAGCCTAGAGCTCTGGCACGGACTTTGGAAGATCAAAATTAAAATGTCGCTAAATGTGCTGCCACTTTATTTATCCGAAGTACTTTAACAAATTTTTCTAACCTGCAGTTCTTCGGAGAACCAATTCCCTGGGTTCCTACCTATAAGTATGAGTCATACTTGATTCAGAATGAACTTGGCAACCTCACATTCAAAAAACAATTTCCAATGCGAAGGTTGTTAAAACCCAATTACTGCGTTTTTCGCTAGAAATAGCGACCTGTCTACGAAAAACAGTATTGTAGAAAGAAAAAGACACGAAATTTTTGTAAAATACGTGAAATTTGGTAGTTGACTGATGGAAAGAAAGAAATGACTAGTGGATTCTTATGGCCTTTTTAAAATGTTTTTCATTACACTGAGATGCAAATTGTTTAACCATTTAATCAGTAATGCTAAGTGAAAAGCTTACATTAATAGTAATTGCTATTAAGTATTTTAGTTGTTGATCAAAATCCGACTTGGAGTGCACAGGAAAGAAGGTATAAAAAGAAGCCGATTACCATTTAGTTAAATGACTGGATTTGAAATGTGATAGAACGCAAAATGATGAAGATTTGCGATATAAAGTAGTGCTAAAGTATGATATAATTCATGTGAACGAGATGTCAAGAGAATGAAGGGACTTGGATGTATCAAGTTCAAAAGTGAATTGAATGGCAGGACGAATGGAATTTATTAATGAAAAAACTTTCATTTAATTCTTCTTTATTATCGCCAAATAAAGTGAACGTATCCCCAATACAGCGAAACTAAACTGGGAAGTTTAAATAATTTGGATTCATAATAATGCATATAGGTGTCAGCAAGAAAAGGATTAAGAGGGCTTCTCATAGCTAATCACTCAGTCAGGTGGAAAGACGTATTTTGAAAAACAAAATGTGTTTATTTCAGACATAATCGAGTAAGGGAAATTAAATGATCAATTTCAATCGATGCGTGAGAAATGAAATTCTCGAAGTCTGATTTCTAGACATTTTAGCCCACCTTCCACTGGAACATTGGGGAATAAGAATTTTATATCAAAAGAAACAATGACGAAATTTGTAGGAAATATATCCTTCGGACTCACTCATAAAAATCGCTTACCTTTAGTAAATTGTGCCAGACTGCATGGTTTACACAAAATCCATAAAAGTGGCATTCATTTCTATCCTATTATATCGAATTTAGGTACCGCTTCTTACCAATTAACTAAATATTTAATATCTAGATTTTTGGCTTTACCAGTTAATAATAGTTACAACATAAAAAATTCAATAGAATTTATAAATAAATTTTTAAAATATTAATTTACACAACATATTTACAGCATTTAAAAAAAAATAGAATGATAACATACCCTTCTATAACGGAGACCATCTTTAAGATTTGTCACTGCAATAAGCCACATGTACTTCAGACAAATGTAAAATGGTTCCCATTTCATATTCAGGTATAATATTTCTATTGATTCATCTATATAATTGCACAAATCTGCTGTTGCCTAAAAATATCACAATATCTTTGTATGTTTCCCCGCAATCAAATAAAACAAATTACTATAATTACTGAGCATTTCTTCTTTTTCATATTGTCTCATATCACTTGAGATATTTCATGACTTAAGTTATAATACGTTTCCCATTTAAAATAGGATTTAATACAAAATAACAAGATTAACAACTGGGAATAATATTAGCAATTATATATAATGGGAACAATATTAGTAACAATATATATTTGAAATAATATTAACTACTGGGAAACCTGCATCTTTATTTGCACAGTTATTTTCAGATACAGATAACAGTTATTTTGAGACACAATAAAGCAATCTTTCATTTTTAGAAGCGAGGAATTCTGGGTAAAAGCTCTGATTTACCAGTAGAAATATTGCTGCATTAAAATTATTAAATTAAACTTAACAGATTTCGGTGACTTAATTATCGAACGAAATTTAATTCATCCATTTTTATCAGCTCATATTCATTCAGTGCTACATTGAAAACAAACACTACATTTCTTTTTAAATATTTAAATTTCTATTAAATTGATGCTCTTTTAATTTATGATGAATTCCCTGCATTCTTTCATCTCAAAAGTAGGGTTTAAATATTGTCGTGTAATATATAATATTCATACTTATATAACTGCTACAAATAAATTAAAAGAAAACTGTAATATTTCTATCACTTTTGAAACACATATTTAAAATTCTTTTATAATTCCATTAGAAAGAATTCTGTTAATTATGTTTTAGAATTTAGGATACTAAATTATATTAAGACCCATTATTTAGCTAATCAGAATATTTTATAATAGAATTTTTGTTCTGTATAATCAAAAATTATATATAACACAAAAAGAACTCAAAAATAAGTTTTTTTTGCAAGCAAAATTTCTTACTAGTAGGTTTGAATTCAAAGAAATTTAAATGTAAAACTATTTCTATTTTCAGAAAATAAATTTTTAAATGACTGATATAAGACATGAAAAATAGAAAAAGACGTAGCAAATATTGACGTAGAACGTAGAGAAGATAGATCGCAGATCCATACTGATGAGGAAGAATTCTGATTGCGTAGTATGCTAAAATGTTGAATCCATAATGATTAAAAAACTTGACAGCAGAGAAAGATTAAATTTCATTTGACATTTGTAGCCGCATGATACTATTGCGATAGGAAGAGAGCACGGTGCAAATTGCGTCCAAGCGGCAACAGATGTAGAAGCGAAGTGTGCACTTATCCAGTATGGAAACTTACCACGAGTAGGTTTCGGTTTAGGTTAGAAAGTTTTCAGTTCTCGAAATTTTGATTTCAGGTTCCATATTAGCTAAATCATCAACGTTACTCAAACCATGTGACATAGATTGATGTAGAAATGACGCAGTCCGGTGACGCAGTTACGATTTTTAAAAGCCTATTGTTAAATTGAATTATAAAGCTGATTTACATACGAGTATTTTTTATACTACAGATACACACAAAATATATATATATCGTATATATATACATACATCCATTTGTACATATATATTACATATATACTTATGTATTTACAGTATTACAGAAATTTTTTACAACAAATATCCTAATATCATTTCTGTGCAGTATGCTGCTGAAAAATTAGTTAATTACAGACGAAAGGTGATAAATGTTTTCTGGATTTCTTCTGGTGTATAACACTGAATTGATGGGTTTTTTACATTTTTATAAGGAGATTTTGGAATTATAATGATTTTAAATTTCATTTCTTTCATGTCTTCGTGGTATTAGCTCGAAATTTATTACTTTTTCGTCTATAATATACTAGAAACTTTCATACTATTTTCCAACTACAAAAATAACTGATCTACTACGACTTACCTAGAATTGGAAAGAAGAAATGCTCAGAGACTTAAAGAGACATATTAAATCACACATATTAAATAGCACACATAATAAGCAAGATTTAGACAAGAAAGTTCAAATTTTAAAGGATGTTTTCACCATTAAGAAAACAGACAAAGCTAGTAAAAACTTTAGTATTATTTGAAAGAGTTTCTACTATAATCTGATTAAAAAAGAACTCTAAAGCGCATAACCTTCCATAAAATTAAAACTGCGGAGAAAGCTGGACTGCAATTCATCGTAGACTTAAAATCACTACGAATAAATTTTACAACCTTTATGCTTTGCCTAAATTTCACAAAACGTCAGTCAAATTTCTATTCATAGCTAACGAACCGGCAATTATATGAAAGAAATAGACTAATGTTTTACTAAAGTACTTTAAAAAGTTCTCTACTTTATTAAAGATGCACAGATGCAAGACCACAATTTCAACTGTATTATAAGTAATAAAGACCCGATACTACTAGAAGCACTTTAAAAAATTTTTCTGTTACGACTTTGAGAATTTATACACGGCTCTTCCTTTACAAGAAGACTTTGACTGTCTTTCAACTCTACTAGATTTGTTTCCGCAAATTATTACTGTTATTTCCAAAGAAGAATGCCATTTATTAAAAAATATTCTTTTTAATAACTCCATTGCTTTAATAATACTTTTTTTAAAACAAATCAACGGAATCCCGATGGGAACTAGCACAAGTTCTGAGATTTGTAATTTGTACCTTTCCACCAAGGAAATTCATTTCCAACAACAGTTATCTCAAGTACAACGTTCATATTACTCTAACATTTACAGATACATGGATGATATTATTGCAATCAACAACTTCAATCAAATAGAATACGATCACATGTATCCTCTTATTTTTGAAGCTCAATAAAACTAACTTTCAACAAGATGTTAATTACCTAGATTTTCAAATTACGATTTTTAAAGGTATTAAAATTTACGAGAAAGAAGACATTTTGATTTCCTTACTATAAAATTCCTCTATTGGCACTCCAATATTTTCAAAAGACTAATGGTTAATACCATACATACTCAACTCCTTAGAATAAAAAATATTTGCAACAATGTCGAGTACTTACAAGAAGAAATCACTAACTTAGTCAAAATTCTCTTAAAGAATAAAACAACCTCTATTCAAAATTTTTATATCTTTAAATATTTCTGGTATAAACTACTTTTTTTAAAAATTTCTCATCTAAAGTGAAATGATAACTATTACTTGAACCTTAATCGGAGGTAATAGTTGGATCACTACGATAAGAAATTTAATGTAAATATGTAAAAAAGATCTTGTTTCTTTCCCTTTTAATTATTACTTATACTATTTTCTACTATACTGTAAATTTAATAACTGGCAAATCTTGCTTTTACTAAAAAAGTGGGGCTTCTAGTTTCAAAGACGTATTGTACCCCGATTACGTGAAGACGTTAATCTTTTATAACCTATATTTTCTCTTTTCTTCAACTTTGAGCCAGTTCTGTTTTCGCGTTTTAAGATGTTGCAGAGGACAGCATCTTTCAGAAGTTTCTTATGCCGGCCAGTTTGGATTTGACGTTCACCCTTCTCGTCGGTACTGATTTTTACAGACAGCATCCAACGTTTGGCAGCCCACACACAAAGTTTAACAGGATAGGACATGTTAAACACACGTTAAAATACTTAGTTCTGCTATTGGACACTTTGAACCTTATCGCATACCTTTTCCAGGAAATAAAAAATTTTTGCTTTTCCAGATTAGCCTTGAATTCAAATTTCGTTTGCAAGGAACACAGTTTGGTGGTCTTAAGATTTCAGTAAGTTTGCATTTTTTTCAAATTTTGTTTCAAATAGGTTTCAGTTTTCAACTGTTTTAGGCTCAGATTAGATTTTATTATTTATAGAAATCTCTATGAAAAGTTTTTTGTTTTCTTGGTATTAAAAGTTTAGGTTAGCATATTCGGGGACCACACAATTTTTGAGTGTTGTTTAAATGACGTTTGATTTAAAGCATATTTGTTTTGATCTTTCTTTATAATTGCTTTTGACTATCGGATTTACATATAATGTTATTAGACCGATTTGATTTTCGTCGTAGAGAAATAGTTTTTTCAATATACACTCACTTCCGAAAGTTAAGCACAGAGAGGAAAATGTTAATTTCCGGAAGCCAATCAGAATTGAAGAGGATGCAATTCGCTGCAGAGGTAGAAGGAAGTATGTAAATATGTTAGGTAACAGCCAATCACACTTTCATGTCAAGAAATATGCAAAAAAGGCAGTCTAATAAGAAGCCTGCTTTATGAAGGGTTACAGAAGTTGACTGTAAGTGCTGAAAGAAGGTATTTAAATCTTTCGTACAATTTGTTTTCAGGACATACGTGTTTCTATGATTTACAGAAGAGGAATGGAAGATTCTGAGTGCGGGCGTGCTGTGGGGCGCATTGAAGCAGGACGGCCGATCACAGATCTCGCTCTTTTCTTCGGCGTTCATCATTCTGTAATTTCATGCTTATGGAAACAAATCCAAACCATACAGACAGTTATCCGAAGACCCGTAGCCGGTCGCCCAAGTGTTCAACCCCTGCGGAAGTTCGATATATTGCTATTGTAGCCACGCGGAATCGCAGAGCGACCTCCACACGTGTGACATCGATGGTTACAGCGTCCATTGGTAAGGCGATATCTGCAGCTACTGTACGCCGAAGATTACATATGAGTGGACTGTACGCCTGGGTACCTCAAGTTTGTATTCCTCTATCCGTCCAATCAAAAGGGACACGATTACAGTGGTGCCGGGATCATGTCAATTGGAGTGTGTCTGACTGGAACAATGTCATGTTTACTGATGAGTTAAGATTTGCTCTGGAGCCAGATAACAAGCGTATAAGGATATGGCGTGAACAACGAACACACAATCAGTCCCAAAACATCACCGAACATCACGCATTCGGAAGCATTATGGTGTGAACAGGATTTATTTCATTAGGATACCGCACCGACCTGCACATCTTTACACAGGGTTCTTTACGGCTGCTGGTATCGAGATGAAGTCCTAGAAACCATTGTGAGATTGTACGCTGTAGCAGTTGGCTCTACTTTTGTTTTAATAGACGATAACGCACGTCCCCATAGAGCTGACATTGTCGATGACTACCTGGAGAGTGAAGGGATTGCACATATGGCGTGGCCAGCATATTCGCACTGCCTTAATCTCATTGAAAATATCTGCGATGTTCTCGACCGTGCTGTAACTTCACGTTTCCCACCTCCTGCCACTCTTATTCAGCTGGAAATTTCTCTACAAGAAGAATGGCGATTGCTTAATTCTGCGGTGGTTGACCACCTAATTCAAAGCATAGTCACAAGGTGTAAACTTTGTATACAGATGAGGAGGGATCATTTACCGTATTAATGTCCTCTTTTCTCATTTTATGCTGTTTATTTTCATTTTATACATAATTCTGTTTAAGTCTCCAGTATGTCATTATCTAATAACTTACAAAAATTTAATATTGTTTTCAGTTCTGTATATAATTATTGATTTTGTTTTATGCATAAATATATATGCTACTTTCCTGCCGAATTTTGTGTCAATCAAAGCACTATTTGTTGATTTTTTTGCATTTTACATCTTCGTGCTTAACTTCGTGCTTAAGAAATTGTTTTTATTGTGCTTCGCATGTTGAGTATCGTGGAGATTATTTCTTAGAATTTGTTTCTATATTAATTTTCTCAATGAAAAAAAGTTCGACTGTATTTCTTGTTTGTACATGCATGTTTGTCATACGTGTGTACCGCACCATAAAGTTCATAATTACATTTTAGTACATGATTTACATGTACATTTACTGTTTACATGTAGCACGTCCCGTCTTACAACATAGGACATGCTCGTGTAGTCGGACCAGCCGGTTTATTAGGACCAAAACGATCGCTTCCCGATGTGGTCCGATTAACCGGAATCGACTGTATATATATAATAATTTAAAATAAGAAATCTTTCCATGTACCATCTCCAAGGAACACAAATTAAATTTAAAACCACGAAAGAAAATATTTTAGAATGTAAATAGCATGGTAATGTATTACAATACAATGTAATAGCATGTAAATGTAAAAATACAATGTGATAGCAACGTAAATAGCATGGTAATGTAATGCGTAATGTATTACAATACATATATATGTGTATTGTAATACATTACCTATTATTGCATAAGTGTGACATTATTTGTAGCCAGGTTTAGCAAATAATGTTTTTCCCTCAATTTTATTTTCATTTATAATTACCTAATTCCACAAATTATCTCTGTTACTACATTAAGAAGTACCATTGTAACTGTTAAAAAGTAAGCAAAAGGTGATAAATTATATATTGCATATAAATATTTAAACTATAAATAGATAATCTGTCAGCAGTGATTTTAAGAGTAGAAAAATCTTAGAAATAAAGATGTAAATTTATATTTTTCTCCTTACAGGGGATTTTGAAACATCTGTGCAGCTTCTAACCATCTCCTTTACCAGCTTTCTCAGTTTTTCATCAAACTGTAAATATAGGAATAAAATAAATATAGGAATATAATAAATCAATATTATCAGATCAAGGATAACATTATAATTGGTCATTGGGAAAATATTGCGTGTATTTTTTAATGTTTCTGAATTTAAGAATTTACAGTGACTTCAAATCAGACTTTAAATGATTTAAGCACAATTTATTTTTTTACAAACTAATATAAAACACAGAAACATATCTCTGTTTCCATGACTTTCCTTCTTTTTAACTTTAATGTATTATATTTTTCAAATACTTTTCATATTTTCAAAACATTTTTGATTCTTTTTAATGAACCATTTTTCAAACTCTTAAAAATAAATTTCCCGCATATAACCAATTGAGTGAGAAAAATATTTAGTATTTTTTTAAAATACAGACACATCTTAATTTTTTGTGTTTCAGAATGTCGTGATTTTTTGTTTTGAGTGTTTTTGGCAATCTCCTATCACGTCAATCAATCAGTGACATTTTACAGCTATAGTTGCTCATTTTGTGTTACCATGTTACATTCTATTAACTTCCTTAATGTGTTAAAATTAATATTCTTATTATATTAAAATAAGGCTAAATAATAGTTTCGTCGTGGCGCATATTCATTCGGGATTTAATATACAACTCTAAAAAATATTGCTGTAGATTTCATTTTTTCTTTTGTTAAAATTTACCACTATCCATCTAACGAATATATTTCTCTTCCTCTCCTAAATATTTTTATTGCCTCAATGGGCATATAAAGTCACTTAGAAAGTCAGGTGTCCTTTATTTTATCCAAGAGTACTAAATGAACTGCATTGAGAACTAAACTGTGCATCAGCAATGCCTGATAGCTTAATTGGTACCATGGAGAAGGAGTATTAAGCTTCCATTTATATCTGAACCTAAACATTTTTTATATTAATATTTTTCTTTGTATTTTTTTGAAAAAGTACTTGTTAATTCTTTATTTTTATTATTTACATAATTTTTGTTAAACAATACTTTATCGTTCTTTCTTCAGCAAAATGAGTAGAAATCCTTCGAAGCCAAATAAATGTTGTTTTATCTAGACAATGCTAAATTTTACATTTTTTATCTTTTTTTTATCTTAAGTACTAGCACCTAAAACCTATTTGCTCCTTAACTTCTGGAGGAAAATATAATGAAAAAGAGAAACAGCCTCTCTACTTCAACGGTTGTATTCCGAGTCTTTGGGGGAGAGAAAAAAAAAAGGAAAATTCACATGGAAGACAAAGAAGAGCTTTTTTGTGACATCTACTCTTTCAGATCGTGTCAAAAACAGAATTCTACAAGCCTTCTGTGTCGCATTTGTATTAAGATAGAAATTTACATCAATGTATGCTCTTCAATATTTCTTTGTTTTAATACACTTTGCTACTTAACTGTTATACTGTGAATATACATTAAAACTTTGATTACTTAATCTTCAGTAAGGCGAAGGTTTCGAGCGAATGATTTTTCGGAACTAGAAATTCAAAGGTGAATATCAAAGCATAGTTGAAAATGATACTATTTCAAAATTCAATTTTTATTTTTAAATAGGTGTGTTCTTTTAATTTTGGTTTATTGAAAACCTGGCTATATTTGGACTGATTCTTCGATTTTACTATATAAGCAAACTTTCTATGCGTTATATACTTATTTCTTAGCGCATAGTTTCAAATTAAGTATTTAATAACATATTACTTTTCGTCATATCCCAACGTATAGTAACATTTATGAAACTTAAATTTTTATTCTAAACCTCTTAAAAAGAATGTTCCATAGCTAGTTTTTTTTCCTGATACTATTAACGGTAATTCAAAAATATGCTCTTTAATATGATAGTTACTGATCTAAAAAATTGTCAACATTACGTGATTTAGATTATGTGCACCCAGTTTTTAGATTATTAGGTGGGATAGAATAAAATTGGATTCGGGTAAGCAGAAACGTTTGAGAGATGCTTTGTGTTAGCAATTAATTAGTTCCTTTATTAAAAACACATTCCGTCAAAACATTAATTGTTAAATACTTGCTTTATTCAGAAACATTACCGTCAACATTACTGCTCAAAAACTTACAGTTAAAAATATTATCGTTCTGAAAAAAACTGTTGTTGCCAATTGGGAAAATACATTTTAAATAAAATTAATACGTTGCGTTTACATTCGGGCATCCTGACTTAATTACGACCTCGGAACATTAAGAACTTATATTTAAAAAATTTAAATCTCTAATATTAATGTTTATAGTTCGAAAGTCTTTATCTGTCATATAGATTCACCGTCGTTTTCTATTCTTTTTCCGTGTCCTAGTTTTAGTAATATGCGGCGTGTTGTTATCGTTATCCCCAGTAACACTAATGTCATCACCATCATCATCGTCTTCTTCTGATTCAGCTTGACACTGCCATGACTTTAATTGGCTCACATGAGCTGTCGTACTAAAGAAATGTCCTTTCACCTTCTCTTCTAATTGAGTCACTCTATAGGTATCACTTGGTAAAACTTCTGTAACTACCAAAGGTCCTCGATACTTTTGTTGTGTTTTGGTTGATTCTCCAGTTGATTTAGGTACTCTTCTTATAACTACTATTTCTCCTCGTTCGAATGTTAAAGAATTACTTTTCTTCTTGTCATAATTTGCTTTCATTTTCATCTGTATATCTTCAATTCTCTTCTTTAACTTCTTCCTTTTTAGATGCTCTCTTTTACCAGTAATTACTTTCTTAGGTGATCTGTCTATTCCCTCATTTATCTTAGATTGCTTTGCAGATGGATTTACATCTTCCCGAGGTTTATTTCCTTTTGCAATATCTTTCTCCGGTTGTCTTTTGTTTCGTTTCTCAACAAACTTATTTTCCTTTAATTTTGTTTCTTCACCAGCAAAATTATCTATTTCTTTTTGTAAACTTTTTTCTTTCCCTGTATTAAACTCTTTCTCAAGTGTTGTAATTTTACAATTCTTACTATATTTCTTAAGCTTTTGATTATAATTTCTTTACTTTTTTTTATTGATATCATTCTAGCTTCTGATAATTTTCTTTTAACTTACTTAGTGATACCATTTATTTTTTTCAAATTGTTTTCATCGTTGTAGTTAGTGACTGGTATCACTGTTTCTCCCTGTATTACTTCCAATAATGAGCCCAACTCATCTTCCGATCCACTTATTAAAACATAACCGTTATTTATTTCATCAGTTTTAACTTTCACGAAATTAACCGTATTACTTTCGATTTGAGTTTCTTGGGAAGCCTTCAGTTTAATTCGCGGAGTGTTGCTATCATTTTGCAACTGTGAAAATGGGCAGTCATTAGCATAGCGTATGTGCAAGGTATTACCTATCTTGGCGTATGCAATATGCGGTAAATCAATCCATGTTCGACCAACTAATAAGTCGCATGGTTGCGTTTCATCTCCTACAATTAGAACTGTAATGTCCTTTCCTTCCACATTATCAATCTCTAAGTTAACAGTTACTTTTCCCAATGTTCTAGCGGCTGGTTTATTCTGGTTCCCAAAGCCAAACAATTCCTCCACATCAGGTTTTACAATAAGATTCAGTCTCTTAGCCGCAGACTGTTTCAATAAACACGAACTAGAACCCGTATCTATGATTGCAGTAATTTCTTCTCCATTATTGATGCGAGCATACTTTAAATATACAGCTGGTGAAACACCTGAATTCTGGTCCACGGATAAATTATTTTTAACATTTGTCAAGTCTGGATTCTTAGACGTACACCTTTTAAAAGTATGACCCTTTTCATTACATTTCCTGCAAATAATTTCTTTTTTAGGCTGAGGACAATCCGTCGCTATATGTCCATAATCATTACAATTGAAGCATTTCGGCTCACCCTTTTCATTGCGGATGCCAGAATTATATTCCCTTTTCCTTTCGTCTGTTTTATAAAATTTATCTCTCAGATTGTATTTATTATCAAAACTGTTTTTAAAACCCACTTTGAAATTACCATCTGTCTGCATGGAATCGTTAACATTTCTTTGTCTTGAATACTGATTATAGGATCCTTCATAAAATTTAGAACCAGATTTGGGCTTTAGAATTATGCCTAAAAGTTTTATTTTCTACTTGAAGTACTTTTATCCCTGCCCGAATATTTTCATATTCATCTAGTTTTTCAGCCAACTCTTCAGGATTAATGAATTTAGACCAATCATCAATGAAATGGTCTCGGATAGCAGCGGGGACCCTCTTTCTTTAATTGATCAGTAATAATAAGTTGTTTTAAAGAGTCAAAATCTGTTACATTTAATCCAGCAAGCCACTCTTCAAAATAATTTTTTAATTCAAACGTGAAGTCCTTCCACGTATTACGCAAAGTTTTAATATGATCAACGAACTTTTGCCGAAACTGTTCAGGGCTTAACTTAAATTTTCTCAGTAGCAGTTGCTTAACGTGCTTATAGTCGTTAGCTTTCTCTTCTGATTCACGGGCAATTAATTGAGTTATTTCATAAGGCAATAGACCCAACAGCTGAGAAACCCAGTTTTGTTCTTCTAACCCAATACGTCGTGCCTGTCTCTCAAATAAAACTAGATAAAAACTTATATCACCTTCATTCAAATCATACTTATGCATTAATTTACTCATATCACAAATATTACTTCTACTAACATTAGAAGGAACAGAATCATTTACATTACTACTTCTGATTTCCGCTTCTATTTTCAATTTTTCAAGTTCAAAAGTTCTTTGCTTATCTTTTTCTTCCATTTCAAATGCTCTTTGCTTATCTTTTTTTAAAATTTCCATTTCAAATGCTCTTTGCTTATCTTTTTCTTTTTCTAAAATTTCTAACTTTTCCCTGTCTAAACGATCATTTATAATTCTATCTAGCATTTGTTTAGTAAAGTCTTCGTTATAATTCTTACTATTCAAAATCATATCTCTTAAGCCTACAATTTTAATATCAGAAGGGACATCTACATCAAGTTCCAAAGCAAGTTCTTTTAAATCACATTTTTTGCCTCTTGCCAA